CACACACACACACACAGTGTGCCCCAAGCCTGCACACATACACACACACTGTGCGCATGTGTACACATACTGTGCCCCGAGCCTGCACGCACGCATGCACACACATACTGTGCTCCCGAGCCTGCGCACGTGCGCGCGTGCACACACAGTGTGCCCTGAGCCTGCACGTGCACGTGCGCAGTGTGCCCTGAGCCTGCGCGCGTGCACAGTGCTGAGCCTGCACGCGCGCGTGCGCACACACACACTGTGCCCCCGAGCCTGCACACGCGCCTGCACACACACACAGTGCCCCCGAGCCTGCACACGCGCCTGCACACACACACAGTGTGCCCCCGAGCCTGCACACACACACACACACACACACACACACACACACACACGGTGCCCCTGAGCCTGGACACACACACACAGCATGCCCCTGGGCCTGCGCGCGCACGTGCGGTGTGCCCCTGGGCCTGCGCACACGCACACACACACAGTGTGCCCCAAGCCTGCACACATACACGCACTGTGCACATGTGCACACATACTGTGCCCCGAGCCTGCACGCACGCGTGCACACACATACTGTGCTCCCGAGCCTGTGCACGTGCATGCACACACACACACACACAGTGTGCCCCCGAGCCTGCACGCGAGCGTGTGCACGCACACACAGAGCATGGGGATTGGACAGCCCTTAATTTCTATGATTCTATGAAAAGGACTGTTTTATCTTAAGAATTTCTCACCTCAAAAATTCCTTGAAAAAAAAAAATGTTTGGAGATTTGACAATGACATTTTTTTATTCCTTAAACAGATTCTTTTTTGCGATAAAATAAACCAATATATTTAAAAAGTTTGCAATTTAAATAGAACTTTACAACCACTCCAATCTAAGCTCCACCCTTAATTTCTGGTTTTCAGATTTTCATAGATTTCTAGGGTGGGAAGGGACCTATTAGATCACCAAGTCCAACCCCCTGCTCTGGGCAAGAAAAAGTGCTGGGGTCCAGTAACCCCAGCCGGGTGCTTGTCTTATCTCCTTTGGAACACCTCCAAGGTAGGGAAAGCACCACCGCCCTTGGAAGCCCATTCCATATTTTGGCAACCCTCACCGTAAAGAATTTCTTCTTGATGTCCAATCTAAATCTGCTCTCCTTCTGTTTATGACCACTGTTTCTAGTAACCCCGAGGGGCAGCCTGGTAAACAGTATTCCCTATTCCCTGCTGACCGCCCCCCTTGATGAGTTTGTAGACAGCCAAGAGGTCACCTCTCAGCCTTCTCTTGTGGAGGCTGGAGAGATTCAGGGCCCTCACTCTGTCTTCTTTTAGGATCTTACCCGCAGGCCCTCAACCATATGAGTGGCCCTCCTCTGAACCCTTTCCAGGTTATCCACATCCCTCTTGATGTGCGGAGCTCAAAATTGGATGCAGTACTCCATCTGTGGCCTCACCCATGCCACAGAGGGCAAGTATCACCTCCCTAAACCTGCTCATGGTACACCTACTAATGCAGGAAAGAGTGCGGTTAGCCTTATCACCTCGTCACATTGGCAACTCATGTTCATTTTGTGTCGACTATGACTCAGAGATCCCTT